CTGCATTACAGGCTTCTAGTGCACACACCCCTCTTCTGCCATGTCAACATTCCAGAGTAGAGGGAATAAAAGTGCCATCTAGGGATCTCCCCTTACTCTAATCAAGCAGGAGAGGTCCCAGAAAGGAACAGGAGCCCTGCAAACCTATTAGCCCTGAGTTGTGAAAAGAGGTTTCAGATGAGAAGAAACCAGCAAAAGAACCCTGGCAACATGAAAAATCAAAACAGATTAACACCATCAAGGGATCACAATGGATCTACAGCAGTGAACTCTAACTACAAGGAAACTGTCAAAATGATAGATATGGAATTCAGAATATGCATGGCAAATGAGATGAATGGAATTGAAGAGAACGTTTAAAACCAACAAAATGAAGCCAAAAAAATTTTCAGGAAACTGATGAAAAAGTCACTAAAGAACTAGACAAAATTAGGAAGGATATAATAGAACTTAAAGAAATGAGTCATTTAGGAATCTTCAAAACACAGCAGAAAGTTTCAACAACAGATTAAACCAAGGAGAAAAAAGAATCTGAGAGCTTGAAGATAAGACTCTCGAGCTAACCCAATCATTTAAAGAGACAGAGAAGATAACAAAGGAAGAACTATCATTTAGAGAGATATGGGACTATGTGAAGTGAACAAACATGAATTATAGGTATCCCTGAGGGAGAAAAAAGTGCTAAAAGCATGAAAAATCTATTTAAGGGAATTATTGAGAAAAACTTCCCTAGTATCACCAGAGATACAAACATCCAGATAAAAGATGGTCAGAAAACACTGGGAAGATTCATAGCAAATAAGATATCTCCAAGACATATGGTAATCAACCTGGCCAAAGTCCAAATGAAAGAGAAAATTCTAGCTAGATGTAAACAACAACTGACCTACAGGGGAAATCCAACAGACTGACAGCGGAATTCTCAGTGCAAACCTTACAAGTCAGAAAGGAGTGGGCCCCCATCTTCGATATTCTTAAACAGAACAACTGTCAGCCTAGAATTTTGTATCCTGCAAAACTAAATTTCACATTTGATGAAATTGTCTTTTCTGGACAAGCAAACATTGAGGGAATTTGTCATGACTAGACCTGCCCTGCAAGAATTACTCAGAACTACATTATACACAAATCAGCACAATAGATACCCACTAGTGTAAAATCACCAAAATAGCCAAAGCTCCCAACTCCTATAAAGCAATAGCACAAGAAGAAAAACAAAGCAACAAGCTACTACCCATTCTGATGAACAGAACAGCATCACACATATCAATTCTATCTCTTAACATGAATGGCTTGAATGTGCCACTCAAAGAAACTTGGCATAGAAGGAACGTATCTTAAAATTATAAGAGCCATGTTTGACAAACCCATTGTCAACATCATACTGAATGGTGAAAAGTTGAAAGCATTCCCACTAAGAACTGGAACGAGACAAGGATGCCCATTGTCACCACTTCTATTCAACACAGTGCTGGAAGTCCTAGCCAGAGCAATCAGGCAAGAAAAAGCAATTGAGGGTATCCAAATCAGGAAAGAGGAGGTCAAACTATCATTTTTTGTTGATGATATGATCTTATAACTAAAAAACCCCAAAGATTACACCAAGAGACTTCTGGAATTGATAAATGAATTCAGCAAAGTCTCACATTACAAAATCAATGTACACAAATCAGTAGCATCCCTGTACTCCAATAACAGTCAAGCTGAGAGTCAAATCAAAGACTCAATACCTAATTCATAATTGCTACAAAGAAAATGAAATACTTAGGAATATACTTAACCAAGGAGGTGAAAGATATCTACAAAGAGAACTACAAAATACTGAGGAAAGAAATTGCAGATGATACAAACAAGTGGAAAAACATATTATAATCATGGATTGGTGGAATCAACATTTTTAAAATGTCCATACTACCCAAAGTGATTTACAGATTCAATGCAATCCCCATCAAAATACCATGTCATATTTTACAGATCTAGAAAAAAAAATAATTCTATGCTTTGTGTGGAACCAGAATAGCCAAAGAAATTTTAAGCAAAAGGAACAAATCAGGAGGCATCATATTACCATACTTCAAACTATTAGTATACTATGAGGCTATAGTAACCAAGACAGCATAGTATTGGCACAAAAATAGAGACATAGACCAATGGAACAGAACATAAAACCCAGTTACAAAACCATCCACATACAGCCAATTGATCTTTGACAAAGCAGATAACAATATACATTGGGGAAAAGAATCCCTATTCAATAAATGGTGCTGGAAAAATTGGATAGC